CTTATGATTATAACTTAGCCTTGATCTTTTTGTAACTTGATTTGAATTCAGGTGCACTTGTTGCTTTAAATTATATATCCCTGGTGCTTCTTGTCTTCTCAACCTTCTTTGTCCATTGTCTCTCTTGTTCCAGTCTTTGACACATCTTTAGTGTTATCCCTTGTCTGCATTATTTCAGGTACAAATACAGCTTCTTTTCTTGCATTTTTCACCTTTGAATCCAAGTCCATGGTTGATATTTCCTAGTCTACCAACACTTACTGATAGGTTCCAATTAAGAGATCGACCAATATTATAAAGAACAATAACAAGACACAAGTTTACTTCAATTTTCTCTTCTTCTTTTATTTAACCCTTGCTAATGCTTAAATACAAAAACTAAAAGAGATTAAACTAACTACTACTTGAAACTTGGGCAAGAAGCCATGTCCTCTAATTAAGGAAACACATTCCCACTAGTTAATGAGAATCATTACGAAAACAATTCAATCAGGTCTTTGTGGAGATGGCCACGTCATCTTCTTCCTCATGTTGTATCTCATCACTTACAATATTATTTAACTTAAACTGTGTCATTTTTCAACATGTGCAGATTTCTTCTAGTTTCTTGAAGCTCAAGTTATCTGCATTTCTCCAAATCAATATTACTACTTCTTGTGAGTTGTAGTTTCAGCTTCTTCCTTTTCTTTCTCAAGCACGTGAGTGATTTCTGTGAAATACTAACAAACGTCTTCTAGTCTCTTCCATGTCTTTGATTTATGTGACTTGTGTTTGCAGTTTCATCTTATTTTTAATAAGCGCGGATGCGGGAATTGTACTTCCCGGCGGCGCCTGAATACGCGGAAGCTAAAATAGCGGTGTGGTGGGACATGAACGACTGTCCGATTCCGGAGGGTTATGATGCTCATCGGGTCCGTCCGAGTATACAAGGGGCGTTCAAGAAGCGAGGCTACTCTGGTCCTGTCTCCATCACTGCCTATGGCGACCAAACACAAACCTCTGATCACATCTGGCAAGGACTCTCTTCCACTGGAGTCGATGTTGCACATGCCCTTCCCGGTTAGTCCTTGATCTCTGGAATTTAAGGGTTTAGATTTCAACTATCCCTAGTGCAATGCTTTCCTTTTACTGAAACAGCGGTCATTTCCACCCAATATCTTTTCGGATTTGGTGGCATGGCAAAGGCTTAATCCTCCTCCGGCTACAATGATGCTCATAACGAGTGAGGTGGAAAGTTACTCAGGTTCTCTTGTCAGGCTACAACAAATGACAAAATACAACCTTTTTTCTGGCTTATATATTCACTTAGGCCTTACCAAATGTCCGTCCTGCTCACTTCTGCAGAGTGGCTCTGGGATAGCTTACTGGCAGGTGTTTGTTTGTCCTCTCATCATCCACCACTGTTGAACTAATTACGCTGTTTCTCAGCTATAGTTGCTTTTTTTCTTCCACAGTTTCAGAGACAAGACCCATTCGAATTCTTCAGATTCAGAAGTTCAGTGAAACGGGTGCTCAATCTAAGGGAGCATCTTTCGGATAAAGAGCATGCACGGGAAGTAAGTATCCTCTCTCTCTGCCTTGAAACAATTACATTGTTTCATTGTCTAACCAATTTGAGCAGCAACCAGTTTAACTTTTTTTCCAGGAGGTTAGAATCCTCTCGCGTATTCAATATCCTCCCAGGACGGGTGGGAGGAATGTAGAGAGGCAAGTTTTTCTTAATGATAATTATAGATTTTCAATAGAAAGCATGAAATTTGTTTTATGTTTTAACGTGTTTCATGTGCACGTTTGTATTGTAGGCAGAAAATTTTCCAAAGAGGAAACGTTTCCGGACGGGTTTTCGTCTTCTTGATAATCATCATTTACGTCGACGTAGAGCTTGAAAAATCTCAAACCTGCAAGAAAGAGTGGTGAAATTGTTACTCAAGTGATCAGCTCTTGTTTTTTTTCAAGATTTGAGTCATTTTTTTCTTGTAGAAAATAACTAGTTTTTGACGGTTGAATATATTTTTTTATAAAATTACCATGGAATAATAACCAGAAAAGCATTGAACATTTAAATGGAAAGTTGACTCAAAACATGGGCTCGGCCCGCCCATCTAGTCCGGGTCGAATACGGGTTTAACCCGGATTGAGATCCCGACGTGAGCGCTTCGCTGTTGTAATATTATTATATACTATATCAGGAGGAGGATCGGAACTCAATCCTTGTCCAATCATACGCGTAACTCAACGGAGAGAGATCTGAGAGAAGCAGATTCCGGCAACATCTCAAGATCCAGATTCGTCCCGAAAAATGTCTACGTTCAGTGGCGATGAGACCGCTCCTTTCTTCGGTTTCCTTGGCGCTGCAGCTGCCCTCGTCTTCTCTTGTAAACCGATTCTCTTTCAGATTTCCCCAATTTTGGTTTCTGAAATTTTCTCTGATCGGAGAAGTTCACCGATCTGATTGTTTCTGTGATGTTTGATTTGGGCTTTTGCGATATTCACTGAATTTAGAGGGATTCTGGTTTCTCGAATCAGATTCTTTAAGGAATATTTGCTTTTAATCACGCTTTCTGATTTCTATGACTGGATTTTTGATTTACTTAGCTGACTTGCTTTAGATCAAGAAGGCGTGTTGATTTATTTGTTACATTGTGATCTAATAGAATACAAGTATCTCTATCTTGTGTTATTTGCCTGACATGGTGGGGTTTATTTACTTAAGGTATGGGAGCTGCATACGGAACAGCCAAGAGTGGTGTCGGTGTGGCATCTATGGGTGTGATGAGGCCAGAGTTGGTGATGAAGTCTATTGTACCAGTTGTTATGGCTGGTGTGTTGGGTATTTATGGTTTGATTATTGCTGTTATCATCAGTACCGGGATTAACCCAAAGGCTAAATCTTACTACCTTTTCGACGGATATGCCCATCTCTCTTCTGGTCTCGCTTGTGGACTTGCTGGTCTTTCTGCTGGTATGGCCATTGGTATCGTTGGTGATGCTGGTGTTAGGTATGATACCTTTCTTTGCGGCGTTCTTGTTTATAACCATTTATTTGATGAGTATTGTTAGGGATGATTATGTTAATGAAAGAAGTGTGAACATGCTTTTTTGTGAAATGTCTCTCTAAGTTCTAATGATCCTTGCTTGTGTACATTGGTATCTTGCTTGTACCATGAAAATTGTTAGGGATTATGTTAATGTTGTCAATCCATTAGACACACTCTTTTTGTGAAATCTCTTTCTAAGTTCTAAGTTCTGGATCATGGCGTATTTCTAATTCGATTAAAGTGTGTGTGAGAGTGTATATTCCCTTGTATTTATATGCATTGGGTTTTTTTATAAAGCAACTTTGTGGTTTGATGATTCACAGGGCCAATGCGCAACAACCAAAGCTTTTTGTTGGTATGATTCTTATCCTCATTTTCGCTGAAGCTCTGGCTCTATACGGTCTCATCGTCGGTATCATCTTGTCGTCCCGAGCTGGTCAGTCCAGAGCCGAATGAGAAGAGAATGCGGTTCTTGAATCCCGCATTGATTCTTTCTTTGCTTTTTTTTTTCCCTGCCGGTCTCTTCATCGAGCCGGGAGTTTCTTATATTATTTCCTCAGGTTAGCAAAAAGCACAGTGGTTTTGCTCCTTGTAGCATCTGTCTGCTTGAAACAAAAAACCACATATCCATCAAAGTGTTGTCTTGTGTTATGTTTGTAATATTGACCGTGACGGCTTCTTCTATTCTCAGTAAGTTAACTGTGAGAGAGACACCGTATTTATAATTTTTTTTTTTTTATCATTCCAATAAATCTCAGAAGAACTTGATTTGTTTTTTT